GGTGGCTGCGGGCGCGTTGTGCCTGCGGATTCCGTGCCCGCCGGGTTACTGTTCCAGCCTTGCGCGACCCGAACGCCGCTTCTTGTTCCTTGCGGAGGCTTTGTTCTCCTTGCCCGTGCCCCAGGTACCGCTCCTCCTCGGCTGGAGCCCACGGAGGGGGACGTTTCTCGATGGTGCTTTCCTCAGGCAAATGACCCAGTACGATATTCTGAAGTGCAAAGGCATCCGTGTTTTAACATTATAGTTATTCTTATGGTAATTATTACCTCATTAAATCTACGGATCTTGAGAGGTGTGACATAAAAATAGTTGGAAGAAAATACCGCTCGTCCCTTTCGTAGGGGTGTTCCCACCAGTTGTGCACGCAGACGTTTGACACGGTCAGTAGGACCCGAAACTCCACTACTTGGAATTGCGAAGCCAGTCGGAAAGTTCTTTGTGTGCAACAATTGCTGCTGAAGCTGCGAGAGGAAAAACTGCCTCTCCCAGAGCCTGCTCTTTACCGTTTGAATGATTGCACTTGGGTACGTGGAAATGACTCGGTTGTGTTGAGTGTGCTTTTACTTAAAAGTTTTTCCATCCCCAAACAGCACGTTACGCATGTCGAGGAAATGATAAACATGCTGCATATGTTGCAGGGCTGCACATTAGCTAGATGGAGCGTGGCGTGATTGCTGGTGCTTGGGTGTAGGTGATAAAGGCGCAAGCAGAGAATACAAGCTGTCGGTGCTGTAAGGCAGAATTAATTTCTTTTAGGGATTTCCTAGTGACATCGTTCGTAATTATATGGCTTAATCCTCTAATCTACTGTAGTGCCTTCAGTTCACATTGGGCCAAGTCCGCCAAGTCCTGAGCTGATATCTACTCCCGCCCACCTGACTGAATCATTTGGAGTTTTGCTTCTGTAAGCCACTGATTTAAGGGGAATGGCCCAATTACTTTAAATAGGAATTGAAAGCCACATCAGTCAGGATCGGGCTCAAGCTTTGCACTGCTCTCCAGTGAGAGCATATGGATTTATGGTTAATTTTTACTTCAGAAAGAAACGGCATTTCCAGTTTCCTGTGCCACTGAAGAAAGGCAACATAAAATACTAGATGCAAGTGCAGTTGATATGCCTGTGGTATCTTTCTGGTAGACTGTGAGAGACCACAGGGGAAAAGGAGACTTGGTTATCATACTGAAGCTGCTGATTTGTTGTTTATTAATTATTAACCAGGCTTTTGAGTGCCTGCTGCAGTTTGAAGAGCCAGCACAGGGAAAGGACTAGGTATTTAAAGCAGTGTAAGCTCTTGCTAAATAGTTTCTGTGACATTAGAAATAGTCTCTGTTTTTGAAAGCATTTTAAAAGCTGGGAAAGGGGCACACTGAAGTTGTCACACAAGATCCTTCACTGGCATAAATCGAAGCCTGTGGAGCCACGGTGATCTATACTTGTTGAGCCTCAGGTATTCAGGCTGGAATAAACAGCTCTAATAGAGCAGTGGAGCTACTGTGATTTATGGGAGTGCCTATACTTGCTAGATGTGGTTTCTGTCCTCACCCTGTTGATGTCTGTAGCAGAGCTTTCACTGACATTAATGAGGTCAAGATTTGTCTTACTGGACATAGTTCGTCCTTTCTATTGAGCAAGTTTTAGTCCCTACTTGACCTTCCTTCGTATTAGTAGGTTTTTGCTGATCTGAATAGACCTAACCCCTTTGAAATGAGGAGAACAGCATACTCTGTTCTCAGCAGGGGCAGCAGACACTGTCTCTCCTGGTAGATAAGTTCCCACAATTTACAGTGTGCTGCTTTTCTTCTGAATTAAAACCTTAGAAGAAATAGCAAGCCCTCCTGTTTTTCTCCTAAAACAATCTTTGCTTTTACTTCTTTTTTTTGCCCAGAAAGGCTGCTCCCTGTATTTATGTATGTGTTTATGTCTGGAGTTTGTAGGTTGCAGCCCTTGCACTGGAAGAGTCACTGTAGGTGGGGAATCAATAGGTAGATAAGTCCTCTCCTGTTGGTCAGTTGGTCCCTCAGCATGCACAGTGTCATTTGTGGTGCCTGAGTGTCTAAGGTGGGTGAAGTCAAAGATGGTACTAAAAGCCTGATGGTGTTGCTGATGACCTGGGAAGTTGTTACCTCTGGAGAAGTTTATCTGGGTTCATAGTCTCTAATTTTAATTTTCTACAAAAACGTACTTATGCCCACATCCTTATGAAAGCACTGTGTGTGTACACACTTGGATATGCCAGCACTCTTGGACTCTTGGAACTCTTCAGTTCTGCCAGATGCCTCTAGATCTTAATTCTCCTTGTTAGAGTCAAGGTTGCTAGAGACCTCCTGAAGCTATCTTTTCAGTATTTTTTACTACTCTGCCCCTTGTGCTGTAGAATCCTCTGCATTAGCACAACATGTTATTCCAACAAGCTTTAATCCTTGAGTAAAGGAAAGGAGAAAGTGCTGTGGTGCAAATGATTTATGAGTAGAATACGTAAATTCTTGTTCGTTCTGTACACCTCAGTAATTTCTTAGAGCTTTTCAAAGAACCAGACTAGAATATTTGCTGCTTAACTGATCCAGAAACACAGTCCTGGAATAACAAATGAATCAATTTGGACCTGAACGTGAAGTCCACTCAGTGGAAATCAATCTGGATGTGCTTTACAGGTAATGTCCTTGCTCTGCGGAAGTCAGTGGGACTTATACCATTGACTTTGGCGGTGTCAGGATTTCATTCTTGGAGCCTGTTCCTGTTACTAATGATGTTAATGAAAAATTTCATTAAGAGAGTGCTTGGATCCCACACGAGATATTTGACCTATATCTTGGGCACAGATTTCATGCCGTGCTTATTGCTATGTTGAGAGAGACACTGTGGTTGGGCTGGCCTCTTCTCATCACTAGAAAAAGGAGAGGTCTTTAATGAACTTGGTCTTCCTGAACCATCAGGTTGTCCTGAATGTTTGAGCATAGTAACTTCAAACTGCTTGGTGTGTGTCTTTTCTGTCAAACCCATCAGGTCCCTACTAGTTCAAGGAGTGCCCGGTCTTGGGCATAAGCCTTTTCAAAATTTTAAGTTTAGATTTGTACTTCTCCAGTAGGTGCTCCTGCAGACCAGAAGGTGCTACTGCTGGTTTAGGTGAATGAATGTCTGCTATTTGTAGGTAGGCTTTGGCGCGCTTCACAGGCACTGTCTGTGCTGAAATACGGAGGCGCGCTTCCGAAGCGATATCAAACAGTTTTGTGAGTCACCCAGGGCTCTTGGATTACAGGATGGCATCCTTTGCCCTGCTACCATATCTCCTCCAGGGTCATTTTGTCCAGTTGGGAAAACAGATTACGTTTAGATTATGAGCTCTGGGGCCTGATGTGTTTGTCGCGGTTAGGTGTGAAATGCGAGAGGAATTTTCAGTCCTCGCGTCTCCCTGGAAATAGCGTAGCCAATAGATGAGTGCTGCAAATCTCTTTTATCTTTTTGCATAGGTGGTTTTGCTTTTATTTATTTATTACTCTTCAGCCTTAAGAAGATACTGGATTAATGTATCCGTTTTAGAATGCTTTAACTTGTGTGTAGTAAAATCTGTGGAAAGGAAATAGTTTAGTTGAAAGAATTGGAAAAGAATATCTTACCTTTCCTGCAGCAGAATTAAATTACTGTTGTATAAGTAATTACTATATACAGTGTGTGTGTGTATGAGGGTACTAGAAATGTCTGCACTAGATATTCTTCTCCATTCTTTTCATTACCTGATTTGAAATAAATATTGATCTAACTCTTTCTCTCTCTCTCTGTGCCTCCAACAGCTGTAGGATTTGGAATGGATCCTGACTTACAAATTGATATCATCACAGAGCTGGATCTTGTGAATACAACCCTTGGGGTAACACAAGTGTCAGGACTACACAATGCCAGCAAAGCATTTTTATTCCAAGGTAAGACAAATGTCCTCAATTCTCTTATCTCAATTCTGCCTGCATGAGCTCATAAGAGCTTTGATGCTGACCTGATTCCCTGGTGGTCTTCTGGTAATGGTGGTCTTACTAAACTGTCACTTTATTTTATTTTTATTTTTTTGGAAATAGTCTTTTTTACTTTCCTGAAACACATGACATTTTTTTTTTTTTTAGTGTGCTGTCAGGCAGTTGAGGTTAGAGATCTTTAGGGAAGTATTTTTGGATAGGGCTTTCAACACTCCCCAATGTTTATTTCTAACTAAATATGTCAAAGAACTTCTGAGGCATGGACTCGGTTGTATTCTTGTGTACTTTTTCTCTGTGATTGTACCTGTGCAGAGACACACAGCTGAAGTTATGTAACTATGAGAAAGCATTTAATGTGTTGACAATGATTAGTAATGTGCAGCAAGTCTTTCATCAGGTTTGTGAAAACTGTTAAAGTGAGAAAATTGAACAGTATTGCATTTAACTGTCCATGCAGAGCACCAGGTACAGAATAAGTCACTCTGAATTGTGATTTTTTTCTTTTTAATTCAATTTTCTAAGATATTGCTTGTGAAGTGATTTAAAATGGTTTTAGTTTCTTTTGTATTTTTAGTGAGTGAACTTCTGGATGAATTAGCAAGTTTTACCATAGACTTAAGTAAGGTCCAGGTAAAAAGACAGCATCCCATAGGGTGGAAGCACTGAGCTGCTACAATATGCTTATTTGGTGAGAAAGACGTTTAAGTCAGTTGAGATTAACATGCACATTAAAGCACAGTTACGAACATTTTTATTGTTGAGACTCCCTATGTTTGTTTTTTCTTTACTGTGCTTTATGTTGAAATGTGCGTCTTAGTGCCTCACTCTTTGATATCTGTCCTCTGTAGCTGTTTTTAAACGGTTATGATCTCATTTAGCTTTAGTTCTAGAACTGCAATGTTAACTGACTTTATTGTAAGTAATAAAAGAAGCGGGTTTATAATCTTAGTTCCTTCTTTACCTGGCCAAGGCTGGTTTAGGGGGCCGGAGCAGAGAAACTTCTGGAGGCCTTCTCAGACTTTGTTAGTCATATTTCCAATCCTTTATGATACAATGAGTAGCATAATTTTCACTGATTCCTGGATTAATGTCTAGAAGAAGGGCATTAATTTATTTATTTAAAGATATAAATTGTTTTTTCTTCTCATACCCCTGACTCCAGGTTTGTGTGTTATGGACAAACAATATTAAAGTACAATCATTCCTCTAAAGACTGCATTGGCCTAAGTGACTTAAAATATTTTAGTGTTTCCAGGTGCCATTCTGTACAGCTAATCGCAACCACACTGACAAACTGTCATGGTGAGTTTTCACAGACTGGTGGTCAGAGCTGCAGGGAGGAAGACTGAGATGCGTTTTTCAGGACACTGACTGAAACCTTTGAAACGGAACGTAGCTTTGGAAGGCTAATGGTGAAGATGTCACAGATATTCAGTTCCTTTGGCCTTGGAGGACCCCATCAGTAGTTTACAAACTTAGAGGAGACTAGCATAAAAAAAAAAGTAGAGCTTGTAAAGCTGACATGAGCAGAGAAGTTGGAAGATAGATGTTCACAGGAAGCAATGAACAATTCACCGTACAAAGTGAATAAACTATTTGAAGTCCATAGTTAGGTAAATACAGTGTTTTTTTTTTTTAACTCCCACGACAGAAGTTCTTGCTAATGCACAACAGGAATAGCCCTGTGCTTGGATCTCGCCTCTAGTATAAAACTTCTTGGAAGATCGCTCGGGAAAATTATTCTCTTTTAAGCTCATCTGCCCTTGGGCTGGCAGAAGACTGAAGACCTTTGGTCTATTACTCCATCCTGAGACACGTCTACAAGGGGTCTTTTGCTGCTGCTCTCAGATGGGATGGAATCCGAGGCTGCTCCGTTGGATGCTTCCCTTCTTGTTCATATCCATTATTTGTTAAATGGCAGCAGTATAACGGCAGCTGTATGAATTCCCATTTACTAACAGAGGTGACTTACTTTACAACTACTGATTGGCTGTGTGCCAGGTCCTTTGGCTGGAATCAGGAGATACTTAATTTTGTTTTTTCTCTTGCCATACAGTAAAACCAATACAGAACTTGGGGCAATGTATGGGCAGTGGCTATTTCTGGCTTAGAAATAATACCTTTTCCCATAGAGATTCACAAAGAAACCCCAGCCAACGTGACACGCTCAAGGGAGAGAAAAAGACTGGAAGTTAGTGCTTAGTTTCAGAATTACTGTATCCTCTTGGACCAGCTATTCCAGTCAGCAAGACGTGGTCCTTTGCTGAAAGCTTTGCTTTGATTAGTTCTTGCCATATGTGAGTAGTTAATGCATGCTGTGCCTCGCTGCACCACGCTGCTCCTGTGTTGCCTCTGGGGCTCTGGGCAGGGGAGGACCTGCTTCACCTGGCAGGCTAATTGCTGAACATGGAGCCACATTAGAAGACCTCTTCACTCCTGTGGTTTCACCGCTGAGGATTTCATAGTTTAAGAAATGAGAAGAAGAGTTTGTGAGTATGTTCTTCGGAGTGCGGTTTTCACAGGGACAGTTTTGCCCGCTGCCTTTGGTAGTGTCCCTACAGAATGTAACAGGGCTCTGAGCTTACTCAAAGGTTCCCTGTGGTTTGTTTTCTGTCTTGTAAGATGCATTTCCTAAAATGGCTTTATTAGAGCCGTTCAAACTGAGAGTGTTTCTTTGTGTCCCTTGAAGTCTACATCTTTGAGGTAGAGAAACGGTAATTTTTCCCCAACCCAGACAGTTGTGTGCACTGCTGTAGTGAAAATACGGATCGTTTTCCTAAGCAAGATTCTTTTTCTGAGAATTAAACTCTTAGAAATGGAAAGCTTTATAAGTTTTGAGCATTCTTTCAGTTGCGTTTAGAGGCAAAAAGAAGAAATGAAGAAGGGGGTTGGTGGGAAGTCATGCACAAAAGAAGGAGAAACTATTATTTTTAATTAAATATTTGATCAGTGATGTTACCTCTCTTACTGTAAGTGACAAACTGTTTATTACAAAGTTTCGGAGGAGTGATGTCATGATTTGATTTATCCTAGAGAAAATGTAGGGCTCTTTTTTTCCTTGGGGATTTAGCAATTTCAGTCCAAGACAACCTCAGTGAAGCTAGTGGAGTATTCTGATTTTATAATAATATTGGTAGTAACAGCTGAAACTCAGACTTCCATGTGAAGTAGCTTTACAGGCAAAGAAACAAATTCAGCTCCATTGCAAATTGTGTGACAGCATGATAGAACCAAAGTGGCAATTGAGAGATGCGGGTTGCCTTTGGGCAAGCAAATCTGTTGCTAATTCAGAAAAGCATAGAAACTATAATTAAGTGTAGTCATCTGACTGGTCCTGTTGGGCATGGACTTTGATTATTAGGGTATTTCAGCTGGATTTTTGATTGATCAGTTCCATATTTGTGTGTTTCAGTTCCATTCTCTGTGAAATGGGGATGAGGGAATCCAAAATGCTGTGCAAGTGCCAACAGTGTGAGTTAGATGAAATGTAGATACCTAACTCACAAATGCAATTTTGCAGTCTAACTCTTAAGGTCTGTAACGTTACGGTGTCTTAGTTATTTATCTTTTATTTATTTGTATGAAGAAGAGCGGGAAGAAAAAATCTTTGTGTCCAGATTGGTTGTTCTAGCATGAAAGGAGGGTGAGTGGAGACTCTTAACTAGAGTGCTCTTGGGGAACGGGGCACCCAAGATTCTGGTGTCTGACCCCACATATCTTCATTTCCAACTAGGAGTCCAAAGAAATCAAGGAACCAGTGCTGGGAGCGGGTGGGAAATCTACCTCAAAGAAATGTAATGAAAATATTAATTGTCTACTTAATGCATTGCAATAACATCTTGCAGACATTGAGTGAAAGACATTTGTAAATATTATCTTACAAACATGACAAAATGAATACCAAAATTCCTAGAACAGGATTATAGTATAAACTATATATATATTAACAAAACTATATATATAGGATTATAGTATAACTCAGCTTAGCGGGGCTGAGTCCTTTTCTGTGTTTCAGATAGCAGGGAAGCAGGGCTTGTTTTGACCCAGTAGGTGGAAACCTCAGCAGGACCTTGAGTTTAGTGGCAGAGAAAGGCTCTTATTATAAATAAGGCAAGAGGAGGTGCTTAATTGGTCATCCTGTCTCTAGGTGGAGTGAGCCAAATTTTAGCCTAGCTGTTACATTACATGATTGCTTTAACCAGTCTGACTTTTGTTCTGTGCTCAGTTCTCGATGGGGAAGTAAAATTTTATTCCTTTTACGATGTGTCAGCTATGCCCATTTCTTTTTAATTCTTTTTCTTTCAGCATCTCTTTTGAACTAACAGAGGCTTAAAGCCTTTACTTATAAAGCAGTTCCCCCAAGAAGTTTATTAAAGCTTTGCTGTTTCCTAGCAAGCTGGCAGTATATTTCAACTTAGTTTTTAAATTAGGAATGGTCTTTTTGCTATGTATAGCATTCAGTAACTTAGACTGCCAAGTACTGTTAGAAGTCTAGCTGTATGTAGTCCTTTCTTCCTTGACCGTTTCTTTACTTGTATTAAACAACTATTGGATTTATAAGAGAAAAACCTGGCCCACAGCTCTTGCAGCACAGAGTTTGGTCATGCTCCTTCTTCCCATTTTGTACCGGTGACTGCCGAGTTCTTTTCTGTCGAGTCGCAGCTCCAACGGGAAAGGTGAAAGAATAATGTGTATCTTAAAGCACAGAGAAAGGCAACGTTTTTGTGAGAAAAGAGTGAATCTTCTTGAGTTCCTGAAACAAAAGGGCCGTCCCGCTTCAGGCTGAAAGAGAGAGCAAAGCTGCGGTCCCAAGGCAGGTAGAGATGCCTCCCACCAGACTGACTTGAGCTTCCAGATGCGTTACGTCCCCTCTCTGTTGGTGTTTCCTCGCAGTGTGTTACGGATCCTGATTTTTTTTTTTTTGGACACCTTCCTCCTTGACTTGCTAATTC